AGACAAGACTAGATGGCTGTGGTGGTATACATTGGTTTGCAAGTGCTGAAGAGGATGGAGCAGAAGAATCACATGTTGAAGGCCAGCTTTGCTTAAGGCTGAGGGTATGGCTTAGTTGGTAGAGTGCTTGCCTAGCACACATGAAGCCATATGTTTTATCCCTAGCCCTAGCAGCACATAAACTAGGCATAGTTGCACACAACTGTAATCTCAAGACATGAGAATTGGGATAAGTTCACTGTCATCCTCAGCTACATGTAACCCTGCCTCAAATCCAACAAAAATAAAACCAACAAAGATGAGATGAGGCACATAAAAGAACTCTGTCCTTTGCATTGGGTATCATAAATATTTGAATACTTAAAATTATTCACAAAGATAATAGAAATTAATCAATACTCTAAAAATCAGATGAAAATTTCAAGCAACTGTAAATAGTGCAGGAAGGAAGAAAAAAGCACAAAGAACAAACAAAGACAAAACTCCAAATCAATTGGCAATCCCTGTAAATGTAAATGGGCTGAGCACATCAATTAAAACATTATATTAAAAGAAAATAAAAAGTCTGTCTTGCAGGGTGTTGGTGGCTCACACCTTTAATGCCAGCACTCAGGAGACAGAGGCAGGTGAATCTCTGTGAGTTTGAGGCCAGTCTGGTCTACAGAGCGAGTTCTAGGGCAACCTCCAAAGCAATACAGAGAAACCCATCTCGAAAAACAAAGAAAACAACAAAAAGGAAGTCTATGTCTTAGGGTTTCTATTGCTGTGAAGAGACACCATGACCATGGCAATTATAAAGAAAAGCATTTAATTGGGGCTGGCTTACAGGTTCAGAGGTTTAGTTCATCATGGTGGGAAACATGGTGGCATGCAGGCAGACATGGTGCTGGAGAAGGAGCTGAGGTTCTTCATCTGGATTGGCATGCAGCAGGAAGGGACAGTAAGTGAGCCACTGGTCCTGGGAGACCTCGAAGCTCACCCTAGACAACACAGTTCCTCCAACAAGGCCACACCCACTCCTACAAGTCCACACCTCCTAATAGTGTCACTCCTTATGAGCCTATGGAGGCTATTTTCATTCAAACCACCACAAAGTCCAACTGATCTTCCACTTGTAAGATGTATGCCTAAGTGACAGAACCTGTATATGTTACATAAACAAGTGAAAAACCGTGTACCTGACAAGAACTAATAGAAACCTCATGCAGTTATATTAATGTGATAAAATATTTATCTAAGAAAAGGGATAAAACAATTGTGGCATATTTTTTCAGTGATATACAACAGTAAAAATTAATAGTGACGATCTCAAACTTAATAAGCAATCATTATCATAATAAGTTGCTGGAAAATATGTGCATTATGAACCATTTATATTATTTAAAACATGCATTGCAGGTTTTTAATGCATCATATATAATGAAACAAATCAAATTAGACATTGTCATGAGAAGCACCAATCTGACAACAATGATATCATCAACAGAACTTGTTGTCTGGTTTGTTTACTCTCTCTGGTTACAGAGAACATCAATTCCCTAAGTGTTGGTAGAATCTCAGAGGGAGAAAGACAAGGCCAGGATTTATTGGAAATTGAAAGTTTGGTCAACAGGGCACTTTTAGACTGGGATATATAGTACAATATTAGAGTACACACTTACCCTTATGAAAGATTTGACTCCCAAGATGGCAGCAAAGAAAGGAAGAAACAAAGCACAAAGCAGGGTTTTCAATGGGGAAACTTAATTATGGCTGCATATGAATTATGGCATAACAGTCTCCAATTAGCAGAAATAGCAAAGAGGTTTTAGTTTTACTTTATCATGAATCTTTGCATTTGCCATTATACTATGTTCTCATTGGTTCCCTTCCTCTTTCCCCACTACCATTGTTCAGCCTTACTCCAGTAAGTCCCTTGGTGCTGCTTAGGTTTTTGTTAACTTGACACAACCTAGGTTCATCTGGGAGGAGGACCAACGATTGAAAAAAATGATTCCATCGATTTGACCGGTGGACAAGTCTGTGAAGCATTTTCTTAATTAATGATTGATATGGGAGGGCCCACATCTCTGTGGATGGCACCATTCCTGGCCATGTAGTCCTGTGTTATAAGAAAAGAAAACCAGACTGAGAAAGCCAGTGAGCAACATTCCTTCAGTCTCTACTTCAGCTCCTGCCTCCAGGTTGCTCCTTTGAACTACTACCCTGGCTTCCCTTCATGGTGGACTACAACTGTAAATGGAAAAAAAGCAAAACAAAACACATTGGTCCTAGTGTTTTATTTTATCAACAATAAGAAATCTACAACTGGATTCTATTTTTTTACTGTATGTATTCTATTTCATTCCCTATGCCCCCACCTCCCTTAAGCTCTACTTCTTTAGACTCATGACCTCCGTCCCAGTTTCAAAACCCAAAACCACACATTATATAAATAAAAATATATGAATTACATATATATTTATATACACATCTATACACATACACAAATAAAAACCTAAATTTCACATATGAGAGCAAATACATGTCACTATTGGGTATATAGTCAAAGGAGAAATTGATGCTTTCAAGGAAAAGTTGATGAGCTTTTGGGGTAAATTCTTATAATGAAAATTCAAACCCATCTTTCTGGACCAGAGTCTTCTTTTAATGCTTATGAAAGGTATAGTGGGGCCTAAGGGTAAGGAATCTCAGTGTCAGTATCTAAGCTGAGAATGAAGGTAGATGTGTTAATTATCAGTATTTAACTCTAAAGCAGAGGGCTAGGCTCACAGGGACATGCCCAGGAGCTTCTACTCTGACTGTAATGCTTATCTCTTAAAAAATGGAAACAAACAGGGTAAAATGTTTCAGGCATGCCAAAGTGTACTAGTGGATTTACAGAAAATTCCTTTGTATTTTTCTATAAGCTTAAGACATTCCATAATTTTAAAGTGTTTTCCTTCAGATACAAAGATTTAATTTGCCCTTTTAAAAAAGACATAATTTCTACTTAAAGTGACATGACTAGAAATTACTATCTTAAGCTAAGTATCCAAGACTCAGAAAGACAAATGCCTTTCATATGCAGACCCAGTAATTTAATTTTTATATATGAGTAGTATATGTGTATCAGTACAGATCATACAGAATGAAAGGGGTCTGTGAGATGGGGATCAGAGGATTTCAGAGAGGCTTAGGGAGAGAAAGGAAAAAAAGATAGTTATATATGTGACATGAGAGTAAAAGGGAGACTAGTCAGGTGAAGGGGACCAACAGGACACAGCAGAGAGTTTGGTGAGGTTAATGAGGGAAGAAGAATAACAAAAATAAAGTATATATGAAAAATGTAATGATGAAATCCATCTAAAATCATACCCCATCCTCAAAGGACAATTTTACTCACTTTTTCCCTTAGATGAGAGGGGTTTTTTGTATAGCATTGTCTCTTTCTCTCTCATTATCCACATATATACATATATACAATCTATACATATGTATATATAAATACAGATGCATATATACACATTTATTTGTACATATATTCTATGTGTGATGTGTATATATATATGTATGTATGTATATATACGTGTGTGTGTGTTTTATGTATAGAGAGGTATAGGTATATACTGTATTTATGCAGATGCATATGTTGATGAAAGGAGACAGAATCTGAGAATTTCTGCAAGTCATTTGATTTAACTTCTTAGCCAATATATGAAGAACTCCTGCAGCATCTACTAGGCAGTGCACCAGGACGGGAGGAGTTGCCTACAGATGAGAATGACAGCTCACTGATACTTACTTACTTTGTGACCTGGAGCAAGTTGCTTAAGATTTATAAACCTCAATATCTCATAAATAAGATAGTGTGATTGTAATGGCTACTATGCAGGCTATTGTTAAATTTATGCTGTAAATATCCAAGTAAAAATTAAGCATATATCTTGTGACAAAATATATTAGTAATTATATAAGAAAACTTCATTTTTAAGCTATATATGTGTGGGTTTGCGCATACATGTGCAGGTTCCTGCCTGAACAAACCACAAGAGGCTCTCAGATCCCTTGGAATTGGTGTTGTAGGAGGTTGCGAGTCATCTAATATGGTTTCTGGAAACTGAACTCAGGTCCTCTATAAGATTACCATGCTCTCTTAACCATTGAGATTTAATCACTTAACCATTTGTCCACTCCTAGTAATTACACTCTTATCATTAATATCTCTGACAAAAATGATAACAAAATTCCCTCTAATAACATTTTACTTTGCAATCCTGCCCTATATGACTAGAAATCCATGCTACTAGAAACATGATGAACTTAAATCATTTCCTTTTAAATTAAATATTCTAGTTATAGTTTTTTTCTTTTAAATTTTGTTTTGTTTTGGGGGGTTGACTAGCTTACAAATCTCTCTTGTGTCCTGTACTGTCTTGGCAAATAGACTGCATCCCTTCTCTATTCATTATTCATAGAGTTACTGGGGGGCAGAATGAAAATACAAAATGGAAGTTTCATTTAAAATATAATGTATTGTCTTGAATTGGTGGCTCAGGAGTTTAGAACACCTGTCCTCATAGAGGACCCAGCTTGGATTCCCGGCACCTACCTGGTGGCTCACAACCATTCCTAACTTCAGTTCCAGTGATAGGAAACCCTCTTCTGTCCTCTGAGGGCACCAGACATGCCCATGGTGCACATACATACATGGAGGGAAAACACACACACAACACAGGAAAGTCTATTTTTTAAAGAAAAGTATCCTATTTATCCTATTGGGGTGTGTGTGTGTGTGTGTGTGTGTGTGTGTGTGTGTGTTAGAGTATATTGTGCCTGATCTCACTCATCCTTCACATTCATTCTCATTGATAGTTTAATTTTTATTTGTTTATTTTTCATCTTAGTGCTAAATAAACAAGTTTTCCCATCAGTTTGAAAGTGGGCAGAGAATGAAAGCTGGAAGGTTTGTAAATACAGAGTAATAATGAGACCTCCAAATGATAAGTCTCACAAATTTGTAGCAGTTATTACAATTTATATTGCAATGAAGAAGCTAATACAATGCAATTTACATCTTCAGACAACAGACATTTATTATCAGCAAACAAAGGAGTCAGCATTTATTATCCAGGGATCAAAGTGGCATGCTGCACATTAATATAAATATGATTACACTTGAATACAATGTGAATCTAATTCAAATACAAATGAGCTAAAACCCAAAGAATTCCCAATTTTCCTGCACAGTTCTTCATTTTTGTAAAAAACAAATTTATTTTGTACAAATGCAAGAGAATAAAATGCATTACTTAATATAATAATTTAAATGTATTAAGTGGATCCCTTATACATACTTAATAAGTATGGTGGGATCTACACATTCAAAATTAGTTACTGAAGTCAAACAATTTTAATTTGGCATGGATAGAAAGGTTAGACTGGATAAATCCATCTTTACTTGTTTACAGTAACATTTGTTGCCAAATATATGATCATAACTCTTTGCAATATGCCTTGTTTCATGTGACTAATGATTCTGAAATATATGCAATTATATATCTTTAGTAGTGCCCATATTAATGTATAGTACTTGGAGAATTCCTCTGATCTTTGTGTTAGGTTACATTGAAGGAAATTGTTGATGTATGAGTATTTATATACATATGGTCCAAAAAAATGATTTTTTTCTTAAATAGAGCACACATATATGTAAATGATCTACCTGTTCATATCCCAGCTCACATGCAATTTGAAGGAAAATAGGGTGGGGCAGGGAACTGTTAAGTCTGCATTTTGTACAGAAAAAATAAATTCAAATTATGCCCATTGGTTATTATAGCTGACTTTTAAAGTAGTAATGTGCTAATTAATACATTTGAGGACATAATATACTTGAATAGAAATGGAGATTTTTTTCTTCACTGTTATGAAAACATTCAATTTATTTTTCTAAAGATTAAATACCATGTGAGTTACCATAATGACACGTCTTCTGAAATTTATTTCTATTTATATTATGTCACTGGAAACTGGTGGATTATGTTGCTATTTTGGTGTAATCGCTGCTGTGTGCCTTGATTCTTGCTCAGATAAGATCTGAATCCCACAGGGGTTGTTGTGATGAAAGAGGGTGGTTGTTTTCCTGGTGAGCAACCTGATCATAAATTAGGAATCATCACCCAAGGTAGCACTTCCAAAGCAGTTTTAATAATCTCCAATTTGGGTTGGGGTGGTTAGGTAACAGGAAGGCTTTGTCTCCATCAGCTTCAGCATCAAGGCATTGAGAAACTTGCTGTTCACTGCTGTTGAAAGTGTAACCAGATCCAACATTTATCCAGCTACTGACTTCTCTATGGTAAAGTGCATTCAAATACTGTGGGCACAAAAAGGAGAACCTGGAGTGATGGGATACCTGCACCCTTAAGTTCCTGGGTATATGGCTTGGCAGCCTGGGGGAAGCCCATGTATGGTTAAGAGTAAAACATTTTAAAAGTCCATGGAGTCTGAGTATTGAATATAGACACAACGTAAACCACCAATATGCATTCCTGTAAGATTGAGTTTGCATTTTGGGAAATATAAAGCCCAAAGTTCTGTCCAAGTCTTAGGGTACCTGCTAATTTCTTCTGAATGATGCAGAATGCAGCTGCTGTCTCTGACAGTGCACAGTTGTAACAGGTGTGGCAGTCAGCCTTGCTGCTAAGTTTAGCTCTGCATGTGGGGATTTCATGCTGTGCAGCCCCTTGGAGAGGGGAACATTGGCAAATGACTGAGTATAAAAGTAGAAAGCACTTGGGAATTTCACCACCATCCTAGATTTAGATCACAGTAAAGGGGCCAATCTAAATTGGTTACAGACTATAGAGAGATATATACCTGGCACAGGTGCCATGAATTTCACATCCATTCCATTTTTGCACAACCACCTCAGTCCCCAAGGGGGATTCCATGAAATTTAATGACAATGCTTTAATTACAATGGGCAACTGATTTTTTTTTGCGTGTGTGTATGAGCAGGTAAAAATCTAAGACAGGCATTCCGTTTGTTTGGCGGTAAGAATACGACCAATGTGCCATTTCTAATTTGTAAACGCCACTTGTCTCCTTTGGTTCCACTTTGAAAAGTCAAGTTTTTTAAAATTAAATTGTCCATTATGGGCACACTAGAGCTACTCATGAAAATGGAAATTTTCAAAATATATTTCTCTTGTAGATAATAAGTGAAACACTTCAGTTTTTGGCAGGGATCAGGAAGGAAGGAGCATTTTCTGGGAAAGAGAAATGCGCCATCTGAGGACATTGTTCTTAATAAGAACTTGTTGCAGTGATTGTTAGTTCTATCCCCCTTTAGTCTCTGTGTGTCTTCTCCTCATGTCTATAAAGTGATCCGAACAGTTTTCAGCAGGAAAAATTCAAGACCCAGAAAGCTGGCATGCTTCAGTCAAAGTCACAATCACTCAGTAGCAGATCATTTCATTTCTGCTTTACAATCCACCTGTGTCTTCTTTGCCAACTCCCTTTTCAAATCAAGCTCATATTTATGTGCAACTCAATCCTGAATTGCAATAAGGAGGGAGAGAAAGACAAAGAAGCTGTGTGTATGATGTAGAAATCCTTATGAGCAAAGTTTGACTTAATTTTTCCTTGATTTGGAGGCAACTTATTGTCCCAGATTATAGTAATATACCTGCCATTATCTGAGGTTTTAAAAGTTCAGTAATAGTAGTAACACAGATATAATATGCAATTCTTCTCATTCACCAGAAACTTTCTGCAAAATTTCTCTTTAAATAGAACATGTTCTTTAAATCTCATCTTTCATTTGGGAGAAATCCAATGGCCTGTGATTATTACAGCATTGTTTTGAGAAAAGATTAATAATCCCTTCCATTCATCTGTGACATGATTTAGCTCTATGTCTGAAGATGTGTGCATTGTGTATGAAGAATTCTTTAGGGCTAAAATAATAAATTAAAGCCTGTCATTTCTTGGGGGTCCTCAGAACATTCTAAGGTAAATTCTTGTTTGCTCTAGCAGCTTCCTGGGCTCTTGTGTTTTAACAACTGCTGCATATGAATTTCTGTGGTCTGAGGTTTGTTCAAGGCTCAGGCTCTCTCTGGTTACTATGGAAACCTGCCAGCCCAACCAGCTGCTATTTCCCCTATTCCTTTAAAACAATGACTCTTAAGCCTCTTAGATGTCCCACAAGCACAGTCAAGATGAAGAATTGCTGAACAGAAAACATGAGCAGCTTGTTACAAGCAAAGCCTCACATGAAAATGAGAAAGCCTTCCTGAGCATCAGCATGCCAGGGTTTGCTCATACCCGCTGAGTCTCGCCATCATTCTGACTTTAAGGAGTGGGAATTCGGCTTTGCATCTCTACATCTGTGAACTGAGGAACGCTTTCTGTGCTCTCGGTGATGGGCGAGATGACATGTTTGAGCCGAAGAAGCATTGTGAAGAGTAAGATGAGAAGAATGGCCAGGAGGCTCAGAAACAATCCTACGTACATGTACAGGTTGGAATACTTGTCTGAAGTGGTATCGACCTCTGTTGCCAGAGTGGGAAAATGAGCTCGCCCAGTGAGATTTCCATGATACTTAAAATGCACTTCCGTCATCACTCAAGACTTGAGTTGATATTTGCTTCTATTTGATTTCTATTGCCCTTGAGGAATTCCACAGTTGCTAAGCCTGTCTGTGACTGTATTGGTGGTGTTTTAACAATGTGGTACAGACCCAAATCAGTAGTGCATAAGCAAGAACTCAGTGAGTGGGCTTCTAATTTGCAAATTGTTGCACTTCCCTGCCTTCTAGCAAGCAGACCTATCCTAAATAGGTTTATCAGAACTTCTTAGTCAGTTTAGACAGTAAGTAAGTAGTCAGTTTTCACAATCTTAATCTTACACTGGTGAAAACAAATATTGTGAAACTGCTTTATAATACTGTCACGGAGACAAGAATCTCTTATGGTATTATATTAGACTTCTGAGGTTTTTTTTTGTTTTGCTTTTTAGTAGAAGGAGAAAAGGCTCCCTTTTATTCACAGTTCATCTAGATCTACAGACTAATGGTGCAGATTTAATTGGGTTCTTCTGTGAGGTGATTTGCTAAAGGCTTTTGTATATCTCTGGCTCAGCATATCTGAGTTTTCAGCTCTTTTGCCTGACTTGGTCAATCTTCCTTAAGGTTGGAGACTATAATGTTCCTGCCCAGATGCCCAGCTTGAAGAATATAAGAATACAGGGCATGGATAGTCTATAGCTTTTTTGACATCCCTCACTGTAGGCGGCAGGGAAAGTGTTGTCAGACCTGCTGATTCTCAGGTGGAGGAGGTCTCAGATATGCTGACAAGAGGCCAGGGCTCAGAGAATTTGGCTGTTAGGATTCTTCACAGATTAATTTTCCTGAAAATAAATAAGAGAGAGAGAATGGTTCAATTATCTAACAGTAATAGGTGGCAAATTATTTTGAAATATATGTGAACATATGTATTGCAAATTAGTTTGCTGCAGGAAAACTCAATTTAAAATAAAAAACCATGAGCTTATGTAGTTTTGTATGCCTTTTTCCTATGCAGGAATTGGCCTTTAAAAGGTGAAAGAACAAAAAAGGGGTTAAATAGAAAGGAACAAAACAAAAAAGTGAAAGAACAATCATCACTTGCTAAATTGAAGCTAATTACTAGGCCAGATTAATATAGTATATTTCATGCTGACTGATCATTAAATATAGCTAGAGTTCTTATTAATACACAGATCCTGGTCCCCGACCTAGATGTTTGGATACTAATCTTCAAAGTACTGCTTGAGAAATTCAGACCTTATTAGTCTGGGATGAGGCTCAAGCAGTGCTAACTTTTAAAAGCTCCCCAAGTAACTAGAAATTGCAGCTAGGACTTCGAACCACTGGAAAGCCAGCCATTGAAACAAAGACCTGAATTTCAAGATTGGTTTTCAGTCTCGAGGTCCCAGTGCCAGTTGTCACTTTAATGAATCACAAAATGTTCAGGAATTCAGGCTCCCCTAATAATTGTTCTTGTTCTTTCTCATTTGGGTTTGTGGTGTGAGGATATATATTTGATTAAGTATTTGTAGATCAAAAGAACTTGGAGTGTATTGCCTTCTGAGTAAATAAATGAATCCTTAATAATGAAATTGGATAGATCCTTGTCTTTATTGGTAAAATAGTCCTCTGTGCAAATAGAGTAGTTTTGTTTGCCATTTTAAATATTAACATTGAATGTAAGTGACTAAAATGAACAATAGAAACAACCATCATTTGTCATACTTCTATAGGCAACAGTAGCAAATTTCTGGCAATGTAGTCTCCTTCTGTTTTTTTTTAAATCTGACCTAATGAGTGTTAATAGAAATATCTCTAACAGTCACATTACTCACAGTCATCTTGAATTCTACCCCTAGACTGGGAGCACTTCAGTTTGAGTTTATATTCCCTAGTTTTCATTGCTGTATTTTGTGTGATTCATATGCATCTTTAGTCTCTCCACCCGTGGTTCTCAATTGTCCTAATACTGTGACCCTTTAATACAGTTCCTCATGACATGGTGACCCCCAACCATAAAGTTATTTTCATTGCTACTTCATAACTGTAATTTTGCTACTGTTATGAATCGTAATGTAAATAAATACCTGATATACAAGGTATCTGATATGTGAACCCTGTGAAAGGGTCATTCAACCCCCAAAGGAATCGAGATTCACTGGTTGAGAACAACTGACTTCCACTTAGTGCCCTTGTTTCACACACAGAGCCACTTTGCTCATAAAAAATGAGCAAAAGAGAGAGAGTCTGTTTGTATTATCACGGATGCAATGGTCTAAGATACATACTTGTTATACTTAAAAGTATAAGTTTTTTGATTTGGGGTTGAATAGGATCAAGGTCTAGAAATGCACATTCTATGCAAGGGATTCTCTGCACACTGAACTTTAAGAATGGACTATTATTTTTCCTCTAGATAACTGATTTGTTTTATTGATTGCTTGAAGGTCTTTTTAAGATTAATTTTTTGTCACACAATATATTTTGATTCAATTCCTCCCAGATCTTCACTTCCTTATTCCCCAACTTCATGTTCTTTCTCCCTCTCTTGAAAAACAACCCCCAAAAATGAAAAAGGAAAATCAAAACAAACAAAAAACCCCCAAGACAAAAAAATAAAAAAACAAAAAGTGTATACACACACACACACACACACACACACACACACACACTCTATGGAGTTCATTTTGTGCTAGACTCCTGGGTATGCAGTCTACAGTAGACTGTAGTTGACATACCTAGTGACATTCCATTGGAAAAAACAGATTTTTTCCCCTTTCCCAGCAGGTATAAATTGCTAATAACTTCTTGGTTAGGGGTGTGTACACTTCCCCTTCTTAGTGCTGGAATTTGTCTGATTTGAACATGGGCAGATCTTGTGTATGCTGTTCTTACCTCCAATACCTGTGACCCTGACCTCATGTGGTAATAAGACCTTTGCAGATGTAATCAAATTAAAATGAGGTCATTGTGCTGGCCATAATCCAGTGACTGATGTCCTTATAAGACACACAGGGACACAGGGAAAAGACTGAAGCAGAGACTGCAGTGGCAGATCTACAAAGCAAAAAAATGCCAAAGATTGCCAGCAAACACTAGAGGCTAGATGAGGTTAGGAGGGATGCTCTCTTACAAATTTCCAAGGATGTGCTTCCCAGCTGATGCCTGGATTTACATTAGTGGCAGTGTAGACAGCCTCCTAGCTAAGAGCATCATTTTATTTTTGAGACAGGGTCTCACTATGTAGCACTGGCTGGAACTTTCTGTAAAGGGCAGACTGTCCTCCAACTTGCAGAAATTCTTGGCTTCCAAGTGCTGGGATTTGAGGCTTCCCTCCCTTCCTCCATCCCTCCTTCCCTCCCTTCCTCCCTCCCTCCCTCCCTCCCTCCCTCCCTCCCTCCCTCCCTCCCTCCTTCCCTCCCTCCCTCCCTGCCTCTCTCCCTCCCTGCCTGTCTCCCTCCCTGCCTCTCCTCTCTTTCCCTCCATCCCCCCCCCTCACGCACGCACGCGCACACACACACACACACACACACACACGCACACGATTTTTGTCATTTTAACCCTCTTAGTTTATGTATCTCTGTTCCATCCTCTGTTATGGAACTTTTAGGAAAGGAACATGCAGAATAATCACCCTGCAGCCCTGGGATTTTCATGATAATTGAAGAGAAGTATCTTCAACCAGAATAATGCACTTGGAACATGCTAGTCAAAATGCAAATTTCCAGGCTGTTTCCCCCAATCCCTGGTAAGAATCCCTGGGGACAGAAACTTGAAATTTCTCTTTGTAGCAAGTTACCTACTTAGTTTCTAAGTATATTCTTTAGGGAATGCATTTTAGTCATGGGTGTACTTCAGCATTACCTATTAAGCTTCTGGAGTACACACACACACACACACACACACACACACACACACACACACACACTGCAGAGGTTCTGAATCAGTCAAATTCAGGACTCTTGACAACTCATACAGAAGCATCTTTTGATCAGAGTGCTCCTTTGCGTATTAATATCTTTCCTTAGATAGGGTGACAGTCTGAATAGCTCTCTTTCCCTACCAACCTTCTCACTGTAGCTCCTTTCATTAGAGCCAGTCTTGGAGGTGTATGCCTTTTAGCTCAAAAGTGGAGGCAGGAGGACCAGGAGCTCAAGTTCATTTTCAGATACCTGGGACAATCAGGGCCAGCTGGGGCTACATGAGAGCTATCACAACCCCTCCAGCCAAAAAACCAGACAACAGAAGGAATGATACTAGCCTAGACAGAAGAGCTCAATATGTTTTCCGCCCTTGACTCTTATAAGTTACTTTCCCACACACCTTCAAGGTGCGACACAAAAGGAAAAAGAAGCATTTGCTATATATTAAGCCAAGTGAGAGAGACCTCAACAATACTATAGTGTCTTTCTGGTTGCCTTTGTAGATAAAATACACAGGTTTTGATAAATCATATGCCTTGACTTTTGGTACATTGTCATCATTAGTAAACTAAGGTTTTTTTTGTTTGCTAAGGAATACAATGAACAGCCATAGACAAGTACCTGTGAATAAATACCAACTGCAAGAGAATAATCATTTCAAAGTTTTCTTCATCTCAGGCCCCTATCTACTTCTTTCAAGCAATAGGCAATATCCAATACCTTCAATTTTGTTCAGCAATGGATGTCTAAGCAATGTTAGTGTGATTCATTTTAAAATTGGAAAGATACAACAAAGGAATGTATAAAGGAAATGAAAAATTATTCTATACAGTGTAAATTTTCAGTCATAAAGAAGAAAAGTTATATTGGTTCTGTGAAAATGAATCCAACTGGAAATATCCACATTAAAAAATTAAGTCAATCTCAGGATGCCAGTATCTTGTTTTCTCTCGCCTACAGGATCTAAATTTTATATAGACACATAAAATCACACACACACACACACACTCACACACACTCACACACTCACACACACACACACACACGGGGAGGGGTGTGAAAATAAAATAGAAGTAAAACTGTCTAGGAGGAAAAGGGACTGATGGAAGCATGGGGGTATAGGAGGTAAACACTCAGTGTACAATATACACCTGTATGAAATGTCTTTATGCAACACAGTGCCATGCAAAATGAATATATACAATGAAACATTTTTAAATGTTTTGGCTAATGCATGATACTCAACTTGTTATTTTTAACCCTACATTATATTAATATAAGTTTTAGTTTTGGCTACCTAATAATAACAGGATGAAAAAGGCCACAGATTGCTTTGAGGCCTCTTATTGTCATTGGACTTTGCTCCATTCTCCTTAGCTTGATATGTAAGATTATCAATGTCCAGGCTGCCCTTAATTCCTTCTAATATCCTCCTTTCCAGTAATGCTCACTCAATCTAATTCTTTGCTTTCATGTTTTTGTTGGAAAATTTCCCTCTACCTTTATATATCTATGCATAGGGAAATACTATATTCTTGAAGGCTCAGGTCATGAAACTGACCTTGGTTTGTCACCCAAATCTTAATTCCCACAACATTTTATATCTCTACTACAGGAAATACCCTTGGCTAATGCTGTAAATATGCATTTGGTATCTTTTCTACACTCCTTGACGTCCTCATACAATATTCCTCTCTTACATAACTCTGCTTATAAAAGCTGATCAATAACAATTGAATAAATGCATGGATGTGACTGAAGAAATGCGCTTAGCACTGGAAGCTTGCAGAAAAATACAGTCCTTTCTTACTTTCAATTTAGTTGTCACTATAACTGTCTTTTAGCATTGCTTACAGAACCATAGAACTACTAAAGGTCCAAACATACTCAATATCTTATGTAGAGTGGCTCATTTATGTAGAATTTTATACATCTTTCTGTATATTTAATCCATCTGTAGATTAATTGTAATACCTAATACAATGCATATAGTACATAAATTATTATACCTATTTTTAGGGACTAGTGAGAAGAAACAAAAGGTTGTACAATTCAGTAGAGCTATTTCTTAAAAGTAAATTGCCATCTGTAGTTGGTTGAACCTGTCGTTGGTTGGATTCATGAATTCAGTATTCTCAGATAATAAGGGCTGACAGCACAACCCAGAGCAAAGACTGAATTTCCTTTCCTTTCTAATCTCCTCTCTTGCTTCCACTGGCTTATGGAGACTAAATTCCAGATTATAAAGTGGAATTAAAGACATAATAAGTATTATAAACTTCATTCTTAAATTGTCATTTCAGTTATATACATTTAAAAGAAAACTACAGGGTTGAATTAAATTTTTTTTCTCTTTCTCCTCCTCTCTTTTGGTTGCTATGGGGATTGAACCTAGGATCTTGTGCATTCTGGTCAATTGTTATAACATTAAGCCACATCCTCTAGCAGCACATTTTTAAAGTTTAGAAAGTATAGTAGTGACTATACGGCTTTTAGTAATGAATGAGAGTGCATTTATGCCTCTAATATCATTGACCATGAATTTACCTTAGGGTTGAATATTTACTAAATGTTGGAATTCTATGATTCTTGATGAAGGTTAGGTAACAATAATATCAGCAACAGTTGTCTGTTTCTTTAAATGTTTGCTTTGATGGTTCAAAAATGAATTATATAATTTCTTTAAACATCTGTAGTTTGTAAGATAACATATGCCTGGGTTAGTTCAGATAGGTGTATCAGTTTTATTTCTAAAATACATAAAGGACTTTGAATTTAACAAATGAGAAGTTAGGGATCAGGGAATTGTCACTGTGGTCCTGTATTGGTGGCAAAGTCTCATAAAAATTTCCAAATAGCAATACTGTAGTTCTTTGATAATTAATTAATAAATTGCACACAGAATGGGACTTCTACATGAAAAGATCTGCACCATCTGAAATGAAAAAGACAAAACAAAAAGAACAATATTTCTATCTATTCTGGGAATCTGATTACTGTGGAAAGATTTATATGGAATTATTTTCTCATCCCTTATTCTTTTCTGGAAATCATACAAATATACCTTAATTTCTAGTTTTGTAAAAAGTGATTGAAAGATGTTGCTTGGTAAAGATAAGAATGAACGAAGGACGTAAAGGTGAGGAACCAGGAAAAGGCAGAGGAGAGGAAATTAGGAAAGAAAAGAAAGGGAGAGGGCAGAGAAAAATTGCCAAGGTAGGGATAAATAATGAGGGGATGTGGGGTAGAAAAGGTGGGAAGAAATGAGCTGCCGAGACAAAGAGAAGGAAGAGAAATGGGAAAATATTGGGAAAAAAAGAGAGGAAGAAAGGAAAGGAGAAGAGAAGTTTGGAGGAAAAGAAAAAGAGAAAGACATTACTATTGTTAATTGGCAGTGTCAACATTAACCTAACAACTATCTACTTCTAATGTAAATAATAATTCCTAAGAGTAATGTGAATGAAACTTTGGTTTTCTATTTGAATATTTAGCCATTAACTTGGTAAACAAATTCTTGATAATAGAAATCTTCTTGTATTTTACTATAATATTTGGATTGCTAAGTTTAGTGTATAAAGCCTCATAGGAGTAAAATGACATACATTCTTAGATCATGAATTTGTTTACTTAAAATAAGGAAAGAATGTGGCAATTTCTTTCTCTACCCACACCAAGAGGGATCACAAATGTGATGCTTATTTCTAATGAAAGCAACAAAGTTCTATACAGGTCTACAAAATGAGACTGACATTTATTCAGTCAAACTTTATTGAGTACCAATCAAATTCCAGGCACCAAGGTTATCTCTGTAGACACAGAAATTAGAGTAAATGTATCCCTGTTTTGGTTGTTGGGGTGCCCCAGTAGTTACTTTTTCTTTTTATTGATAAAGTTCTGAAAACAATCCTGGGTCATTTTATAATTCCTTGCATGCTACTTGCTATATATAATTTCAGAGCTGAAATCCCAATACACAAACAGGGAATAAAAACAACCCATGGAACAATCCCGAAAAGCAAGTCCCAGGCTGTTAATTGGCATCACTTTCAAGAGCTAACACATTCTGTTTGCATGCATCTGCCTAATGAGGGACAGGAAACTAAGGGAGGTAGAGTATCCAGTTTCTTATCAGCCTATGAAAAACCAATGTCAGCAGTGAGTGTTCCTTCAATGGCTGGAGATGTAAAGTAATAAGCTTGCACAAGTGGGAGTTGCTGTATCTTCTGCCGCAGATGGTGCATGTTACACCTGCTGGTAAATAAAATTCATGCTCAATTCGGCGTGAGTACCATCATTGCACTTCCCCACATTTCTTACCTTTCCTGGGTCACAGAATGAATGGGGCTGGCCATTTAAATATCCCTTTTGAAGCTCGCACCAGCAGACAACTTGTTCAGGAGCATCTCTGGAATATCTGGAAAATAGAAGGAAGCCTTGAAGCGTCCGTCCCCCTTCCCAAAGAAACAGGATTATGCCCCATGCCACATATGCTTTCTCTTTCACCTTCCTCAAGAGTCAGCCTTTTCAGAAAAACAGAAAAGCACCTTCAGTTAGTTACTTAAAATCCCAGTTAGCACTTACAGCTTTAGAGTGCAGTTTCTGACGTCTGTTTCTTTTAAGCTGCAAAGAGCATTGAGAAGTCTCTGGACCTGTAGATGTCCTCTTGGAACATTTCAATAGAAGCAGCCTGGCTTGGTTAAGTGCCTGGTTCCTCCTTTGCAGGCAACAGTTGAGCGAATGCAGGAAAGGTGACGATTCCACTCAGCTCAGCTCTGCAGGAGCTGTGCGAGCTGGAGCCCCGAGGGAGGGAGGAGATGTGAGAGCAAAGTTTGTACAAGCCTTCCACTTTAACCCCTTCAAGCCTCCTTCACTGAATCTGTGGGATTAGCCACAGCTTCCTCTCTTTGTAAAAGCTGCTTCATATGTCATTTAAGAGGATCAGATCTCTTGTTCAATTCAAGAGATTTTCTCTTCCTAGCTCTCATAGCAATATGGGCTTAGAATGGAAACATGCCAGTGTGTGGTGGTATTTAAATGATTCCATCTTTACAAACAGAATCAATGCACGTGTATGTTTCTGGGCTTGAGAAACTTCTAGGCATCATGTTAATAAAATTTAGCTTGAATATAATGTGGAAATTAAACAGCAGCCTGCTACCAGTTAAGGGCAGGAAAATCTTCAAAGAAAGAATATCTGTAACATTAGAAATGAATCCACTTGCAGTTTAAATGCACTATCTTGTATATACTAAGAAGAAGACTGGCATTTCTCGAAGGCCCCGTGTACATAAATCATTGAACATAAAAAACTATATTTCCTGCACCAGTTGTAATGGCAGCACTTGAGAGCTAGAGACAGGACAACCAGGAGTTCAAAGCCAGCTTGTCTATATAGTGAGTTCAAGGCTATCCTGGACTACATGAGACTGTGTCTCCACGAACAAAACAAAACCAAGGAAGTCAATTTTTTCCCATAAGAACATTGTGGTTTGTGCAATATAATTTTCCATGCAATGACTGAGAACCTGAGATTCACAAAGAAAGTACAATGTAACTGAGGGAGATTGGAGCCAGCATTTGAAAACAAGACAGAGTGGTCCCATTGTCTCTCCTCTTTACCTCTGTCATTAACGGAATTCTTTGAGAATTTAATGGAAGTCTGGTTTGGGACAGTAAGTGCCAGTTCTCCAGTGTTGTATCATTATTAGTGCATTGTTTATTTACCAATACCTGGTCATAAAGAATTCCTGTTATGGTAACAATACGAACTTTATTAATAGCAATGTCTTACCAATTTGAAGAAATTACTGGACTGGGCATGGCTCAGCAGTAGAGTGATTTCATAGTGCGCATGGGGGCCTGGCTTCAATTACTGGCACTGCAAAAATATTAAACAAATGACTGCCTGACTTTCCTTTTATTCCCAAACTCTCCTTAACAATTCTGGATTTTATGTCTTCATTGCCCATCATCCCAGTGGCTACAATTGTTTGAGGTCTCCTTGAAATCCTAAATGCCTTATTTACCAGTATGACTTAGGATCTCTATCTTCAAACAGGTAGAGGGTACTGGAATTTTTCTAACTGGAACAGTATGCTTATGAATAATGAAACTACAGGATAAAGCTAGTACATTTTTCTAGAGAAATGATTTTACATAAATATTTGGAAAACTAATACTTACATAATATAATTAAAATTCAAGTTTCCAGGAAGATAATAGATGTTCTACGGTAGATGAGAAATGCTGAAGCCAGATCACAGAATTTACATGGAAAATGCTCTAATAAATAAGAAGTTTTATTATACAGGGAGCAGCAAAGAAATCTGTGGAAGGGTTTCTCTGCAAAGAGTTATTGCCATCTTTCACTCCACCACCCATTAGAGTGATGGGACCAGGTGATAATAGCTACTGCACCTCAAGTGCTCTCAAGGACTGGTGGAAGAGGAGGAATTCTCAAGAGAGACACTTCTGCCATTCCTTTGGGCTAACTGGCGTGTACCAGCCTAAGCTTAAAAGTAAGTGTGCTTAACAGGTGTGTAAAAGTCCAAGCTTGAAAATTAATATGCTTAACGGATACAAGAGCCCAAGCTTGAAAATTCGAGTGCTTAGCAGGTGTGCAAGAGTCCAAGCTGGATGCTGACCTGTAAAGAAAAGATCTTTATCTTTATGAAATGAATGGACTTGGGAACAGAGAACTCTGCTAGGCCTGGAATGGCTGGGCGTTTTGCACCCACCATCCTAAAACCCTTGAGATTGTTGTTGATTTCAAAACTGGGAGAGTTTAAACAGGGTAAGGTAGTTCATGCCTCTGATACTTGCACCTTCGAGGCTGATGCAGGAAAACTTCCTTGAGTTCCAGGGCAGCCTGGGATACTTAGTGATTTTTGAGGTCAACCGGGGCTATAGTGTGAGATATTTTTCTTAAAACAACAAAACACCACCGACAATAACTAGCAAACAAACAAATTGGAGATCCTTAAGATGGAATATCAACCCGATTTTTTTGGAAAGCTCTTGAGAAAGACATACCCGTCTGTCTCTGTAACAGAAGAGAGGAAGAAACTAGGGCCTGAGTTGACTTTCTCCCCAGGAAACGACTTATTGGGGTGTTTATAACATACAGCACGTGGGCAGAAGGCAGTTAGGGATATCTATGAATACAACCTAATAAAAAATCATATACTTGATTAAGACATTATGAAGGGTGTGTGTGTGTGTGTGTGTGTGTGTGTGTGTGTGTGTGTGTGTGTAGTGTATGTGTTTGCTTTTTCTGTAAATTGGTTGCCCAATTCTTTTTTAAAAATTTATTATTTTGTCATATATTACATCCCAACCACAGTTTCCCCTCTCAGTCTCTCCACAGATCCACGACTCCTTCATTTGCCCAGAAAAGGGCAGGCCTCCAGGGATACCAAACACAGCATGTCAAGTTATAATAAAACTAGGCACATCCCCTCACTTTAAGGCTGGATCAGGCAACTCAATAGGAAGAAAAGGGTTTCAAAAGCAGACAAAAGTGTCAGAGACAGCCGCTGTGCCCACTGTTAGGAGTCCCGCAAGAACACCAAGCTACACAAGCATAACATATATGCAGAGGATCTTGGTCAGACCCATGCTGGCTCCCTGATTGCCAGTTCAGTCTCTGTGGGACCCTATGAGTCCTGCTTAGTTGATTCTGTAGGATGTTTTCTTGTAGCCTCCTTGACCTCTTTCACTCTTTTACCATCCTTCCTCCCCTCTTCCATAGGATTCCCCAAACTCTGCCTAATGCTTGACTGTGGGTGTTTGCATCTGCTCCCATCAGTTGCTGGATGAAACCTCTCTGATGACAATTTTCTTAGGTCCCAATCTATGAGTATAGCAGAGTATCATTAGAAATCATTTTACTGACTTTTTACCAGTCATCTTTCGTCCCATCCTATGTCTCTGGGTTCTCCAGTCTCTGGTTTCTGGCCATCCAGTGTCTGGCATGGGTTCCTTTTCTTATCAATGGTCTCAATTGAAGCAGTCTCCCACAAGTTCTGTGTCACTTTTACCCCAGCACATTGCAGGCAGGACAATTGTAGGTCAAAGGGTTTGTGCCTGGGTTGGTTTCCCAATCCCTCCACTGGAAGTCCTGTCTGGATACAGGAGATGTTTGTCCAGTTCTTGAATGTGAACTTTGTAGATGACAATTTCATGGTGTAGTGCCAAAAGTTTGGGCAATCCTGCTCTATTAAACTCTCTCACAACTAATTTTACATATGTTGTGTACTTTACCTCCTAACTTTCCTTTGTTGGGTTTTAAAAGTAATATTTATTAATTTACTTTGAGAAGTTTATACCATGTATCTTGATCACATTCATGTTCCCACTCTTTCCCCCAACTCCTCCCAGAGATAATTCCCCCCTCCACCCCAGTCACCATTTTGTGTTCTTTTTCTTTTCTTTGGAATACTGTTTTTAGAGGGGGTCTGGCCTTAACATTGGTATGCAGCAGGGACAACCTTGAACTTCTGACTCTCCTACTTCTGTCTCCTGAGTGTTGTGATTACATGCTTGCACCACTGTGCCTGGCTCATGTGGTACTGGAGATGCTTTCACTTCCTCTTCCATAAAAACGAGAGATCTCCTATACCTCAAGTACAGTCATGTAACAGTGCTCTCCTGATGGAGCACTAATGGAAGAGGAACATTTTACCAACTGCTCTACAGCCCGCCATTGCCTCCAGTTTCTCTTTAAATTCTTATAATAGCCGGTAGCACAGGTTGGCAAAAATTAGATTTCATTCTCCCCACACTTTGCCAAAAAGTAAGTAAATTTACTTTTCCCAAGGTAGCAGGTATGTATATATGTGCTAGGTAGCAAGGGGAAAATAACGCACCAGAACTTGTCATTTCTTGTTTGCAACAGAGGCAGAGGATTAGAGCTACAGAAGCCAGTGTAGCCCTCAGCAGAAGGAGATGGTTGACAGTGTTAGAACTGTTCCGTATTTGCTTAGTTTTTCTTGACAGACCATGTGTGCTTCCAGCGAATCAAATTGGGATTAACTCATTCGGGACCCTGTAAAATAGAACCACCTGGAGGAGGGGTGGCAGGAATCCCAGCAACATGAAGCTGGAGATAACCTCTGAATACCTCACCACAGAAGGAATTAACACTAACTAGAACCATGTCAGTTCAGAACTCCCAGATTACACAAGAAGGATTCTCAGTGACAGAGGCCTTTGAAAAGCTCACAGAGACCCCAGGAGTAGGAAGTCATTTCACTGGGGGAGAAATGAACAATCCCCTCATTTTCTTTCCGTGTTCATACGTCTAGTCTTTTGAAGATTCAGACAGGAGTTGGCAAATGGAAGGGAAAGGTAAAATATTTTTTAGTTTTTGGTCGTCATGTAGTTCTTCATGTAAGCTTCAAAATTACTCTCTTCCTGAGCCTGATCCTCCTCTGGCCTCTACCTCCCAAGTACTGGGATTACAAGCCTGTGCCACCAGACCAAGTAAGACTGAGGAATTTGATTAATCTCTTAGATGGACTGCATACTGATTGCTGATTCAAGATTCTGTTCTGTTATTTGGTGTGACTGCAGAAATGCCATCTGTCCAAGTTTTCATCTAAAGCAATGGTTCTCAACATGGGGGTTGCAGCCCCTTTGAAAAACCTCTATTTTCAAAAAAATATTTACATTACAATTCATAACAGCAGCAAAATTACAATTATGAAGTAGCAATGAAAATATTTTTATGGTTGTGGTGGTCACCACAATGTAAAGAAGTGTATTAAGAGC